CCTTGTCTTGGCGAAATAGTCCTCGCTATATCGATTCGAATAGATACACCAAACGAGTTTTGAACCTCTCGCGAAGACTATTTGCGTGCTTTCACTTCCCCTGCAAACAGAGAGGGCATACAGGCTTGGTCTTGATAGCGTAGGCGCATGTTGAGATGCGGCTGCTATTAGTGGGGCAGCCGAGGCCGCTAACGGGAGTGTCGTTGGCTCCCGCTCTAAAATGGCATCGTCTTCAACACAACTGCACTCTTTTCATCCCATGTCACCCTGTTAAGATCTTCAGGCACAAGAGCGACGGCATTCCGAAAATAATGCGAAAAAGATACTGCTGTGGCTAGGAGCTCGTAATGAGGCGCACGGCGTGCCATCGCTAGGATGGTTCCGGGCATGGAGCGGGGCGCAGGGAAATGTCACGCCACTCTCTGGTGGTCTGATCAACCTCTACTTTGGTAATCTAGAACAGCGCAGAACCTGGCACAGGACAACTTCCGCACAATTGCTGTACCGAAAGTCCCGTTGGAGCGATTGACATTTTCTAGGCTTTTGACTGCCCTTTACACCTGCCACTCTCGATACTGCATCTTCATACCCCTGACCAGTCGGTAGATCAAACCCCGTACGAGGAGTACCACGAAACGGTGTGGACTTCGCCTGTATTGACCTGCAACTACTGCCAAGCTGTTCCTTGGGTCTTACTCACCCGCCTTAAGCCATCGCCTATTCCCGTGTAAAAACTAGAGAAACTTTTCTCAAACGCGTGGATACATCTTCACCATCGACCCATATTGAGTACCTGCGAGCATCTCTTCGATTTGACAAGACAAAGGAAGTGCCCGCGCTTATAACCTCCACCCCAGCTCGACCCTGATCCTGCACCTCGCCCGCTAGTCTCACGTGTGGCTTGGCCAGGGTACCTTAGCGATTGTATCTCCTGATCAACGCGTGAGCTCTTCCGTGCAACAACCCACCCGCGGACTATTATCATCATGGCTCTCAATTGGGACGCATTCCTCAATACTGAGGGTTTCAACCTACCGAACGACCAATGGTCCGATCTTTTACCACCAACGTCTGCCCCTCCCACTTCCCAGATGCCTAAGTCGACCACCACCGACACGTCAGGCTCTTCACCTGAAGACGTCACCAATTTCGATTCCCTTCTCGGAGGAACATCAGGCGATCCTTACTTTGACGACTCGCTATTCCTGCCTAACGACTACTTCCTGGGCGATCTCGACGTCCTCAAGCCCTTTGGCAACAACATCGGTGGAGGGAGATCAACCAATGAGTCGTCACCCGAGCCTGTACTTGGGGCTGGCAACAACTCTACATCGCAGACACCATCAGACGTAAACGGCTTAGACCAGTCAGCCAACATGCCGCCAGCTCAGAGGCAAGCGCTCCAACGTGCCAACACCTTTCCCAACCCTGCCTATGAATCTTTGTTTCCCAACAACCTAGATTCCGGTTTCGTCGAAGACCTCACCTTCCCCGACGGCCCGAAAGGATCATCTACCACTACCAAGCCAGGGCTTGAGAGAACTCAAACATCAACAACAACGAACACTACGTCGAAACGTACGAAGAACAAGCCAGACATACTCTCTGCCTGCTGGACATCCCCACTTTGCCCCAATCACGATGTAAATGGTTCACCGCCTAATCCATCGACGTGCGGCGGAGGATGTGCTCCCTTCTTGTTCGCAGACCAGGACGCTCTCCCAAGTATCAGCAACCTACTCAATGACCCACAAGAAGTCACTGCCGAAGACGGTATAGTGGAGATCCAACCACGCCCTAAGAAGCGATCTGAAAGCGACGCATCAGCCAACGGCTTCTCAACCCAACAGAGAGAAAGCAAAGACACGACCACATCCCCATCAGACGACCGGCAACGAATGAAGAGCGAGACGACAGAAGACGCCTCCGCCAAAGAATCACCCCAAGCCAACGAGGATGACAAGACAAAGCCACGCCGACGACTACCGCACAACCAAGTCGAACGAAAGTACCGAGAATCGCTCAACACACAACTAGATTCCCTCAAGCGTGTCGTGCCTTCCCTCCAAAACCAACGAGCATGCGACGGCGCCGATATCGAGGACCTCCCCACACCCTCGAAGCCGAGCAAAGCAGTCATACTAGCGTCGGCGACTGCCTATATCAAGCAAATGGAAAAAGACAAGAAGAGTCTGGCAGATGAGAACCAATTGCTTCGGACGAGAGTAAAGGCTTTACAGTCGCTGGTCAAGTGTGACGACTGCAGCTTGATGCAGTATGTCATGGATTTGAAGATCAAGCAGGCTAGTTGAGGACGTTCTGGTTCCTTTGTTCCCTTTTGCTCTTTGTTCACGCGATGCTGGCATCAATACAGCATCCACTCGGCGTTGGTAGGGTTTGGGATGAAAACATAAACCGTTCCATGTCAGCGGTCACAACTTCACAAGAAAAGTGTTGTGCAATCGCACACAGAGAACTCTTCCGTTTTACGGCCGAACTTGTACTGGATACACATAGCATATCGCTGCTTTATAATGATAGGCGTTTTGGCTGTGGGAGTAAACTGGTATGCGCTGGGTAAAGGCGCTTGAATGAGCTTGGGTGATGCCATTATCGCGGCTGATGCCATGAGATAGTCTTCACTGTAGTTGAATACACGGCATCTAGACTTGACTTATGTTGTTATGTTCAACCACCGGAGGTCAAATCGATATATCAAATACATGTCTAAACAAAGCCAGCCGCTGCAACAAATTCACCTTCCATGCGCAATACCCAAGAAATAATCATTCCAAGATCTTCAGCTCGCCTTCACTCCGCAGAAATCTCCGTCACTTTGATTTCCACGCCTTTCCCCTCCACCTCAATTTTGCTTGGCGCAACATATCCATCTTCTTCTGTGCGCAGATAATCAGCCTTCTACGTCGCTTTTGGACAACAACGAGTGAGAGGAAAAGGACTTACGCATCCGACACTGCACATAGCCGATTGGATAGATCGGTCCGTCCCATCGATCCCAACCTTCTTCGTAAGAGGTTATGGCAGCTTTTTCGCGCTCGAAAGCGAGATCTGCGGCGGTGGTTGCTATGAGTTGGGTTGTTGAGAGGATGGGAATGGTGGGCATTTTTCGTGTTTTCGTTATCGTTATCGTTATTTTGGACAATAGATGAGCAACTGTGAATGTCGACGTTGATATTAATCTGATAGTTGTGTCGTTCTACCTAGAGTCGTTGACAGTACAACTACATCTGCATTAAATACTCTTTCCCATCCATACCACCTCCCCATCTCCCCGTAACATAGAACGTGGTGGTGAGACTCCAAATGCTAAAACGGGCTTCATTTGCATACACCCAACACGCGACATCGTAATCCAGTTCCTACACGCATCAGATTGCCAACATCACCCCATTTCCCAATTCCGATTCCTTGCTCCCCGCTGCGTCACTGCGATTGCACTATAGTTGTACATGGCGGATTACTGATATACAGGGATCGGGTAGTCGCGCCGTCGCGGTGATGCCTGCCGTGTGGTGGCGAGACCGGCTGCTTCCGCGAACCATCACGCCACCTCCACATGTGTCTCTCCACCAAGACCCTGCATCGTACTCGAACGAGACTTGCTTGTGCCGAGGCTGCAACTGTAACCTGTTTTTTCGTTTCGTATCTGCCTATCAAGGCTGGATTTGCTTGGGGTTTAGATGCTGGATTGCCTGGTTGTCACACCATAGTGTTCTGTCGGCTTGGGTCATGGGTGCTCGGTAGTGACTGCTGGTACGTCAAGACGGCATGGTATGATCTGTATATATGAGGTACATACCGTCATCACTGGACTACACCATCAATAACCCATTTGCTCTCAAGAGGGCACAAGCTATCGTAACTCCACTGATATATCGATCGTGCAACATCCAACTCACCAGCACGACCACAATCAAAACACCACCACATGTCACTCTACCCAAACATCCTCGACATCTCAGCCTACAACACCATGCTCGCACAGCACTACCAGCACCAAACGCCTCATCTACCTTCCACCTCCAGTAAACTCTCGCACTCACCACATCCACACCACCATATGACTTGCGACCACCTCTCCGACGCGGTCCAAGACTTCTTCTCACACATGTTCGCGCCGGCATCATATCTCGCATGTACATGCTCGACACCCTGCTGGGCTCCAGCCCCGCTGACTCCATGCAAGTACAATGCGCATGACGAGAAAACCGCGATCGTTGTTGATAGCGACATCGTAGTGTCGGAGGATGAGCGTGAGGAAGACGGAGGACCGTTGTGTAGAGAAGCCACGATCGCTTCTTGGAAGGTGGGAGGGAAGATACAGGGGAGGAGACAGAGAAGGAGGAGCTTGCAGTGGCTGGCAGAGGTTATACGAAGAGAACATGTATAGGAGATTGACTTGTACAAGAGAAAGTATGAAGGTAGAGGGGAGGCGTTTGTTTATTAAAGCATCCAATAGCGATTCTTTCGACTTCAGCAGATACTGCCTATCAGGGACCTTTTCCAATTCCTTTGCGCGCCAACTCGCGGTTAGCATTATACTCACCAAAGATGTAGCCAGCAGCCAACGATTAAGGCGCAGTCAACGCCCATGCACTTAAGCCTCTCGTGACCCGAAGCCCCATTTGGAAGACAAAAGACTCCGCCATCATCGCTACAATACGATAGGCTCAATTGTTACCACCCATCACCAACGCGCTTCATGCGATTCTGTCTCATTCAACGTCCGCGAAGATCGCCAACACCATCACGTTCGTCATTTCCAAACTTCGCCTCACCGCCCGCCCTTAGCGGCTTGGCGGCAAGAAAACGTCACTGCTGAGCCCTGATTGGTCGCACTCGCCTACTTTGCCATCATCACTTTACCTACTTTAGACGCGTGCCATTGCGCATCTGCAAACGCGTGGTATCGTGAAATCCACGCGCTGCTAAAAGAGAAGAAAAAGAGGAACAGAGAAAAGAAAGGAAAGCAAAAGAAGATGGACACTGCTGAGCGAGGAGCGATACGCGACGAGAAAGATGCACGGTTAAGAGATGGGCAGGCTGGCGATGTTGAGAAGGGTGGTGTTAACGGTGGTGCTGGTGATGGAGAGGATATGATGGGTACGTCTTCTTCTCTTCAGTTCTTTTGACATTGCGTATAGCACTTAAGTCTGTCATATCGCCCATTGAGACTGACGCTACATCTGTAGGCAATAACCCATCCACACAAAAAGAACTTCCTCCTCTGAAAGGTCTCTCGTTCCTCGACCGCTTCCTAGTTGTATGGATCATTCTCGCCATGGGCATCGGTATCGCGCTGGGGAACACGGTTGACTCCGTGGGTCCAGCGTTGCAGAGAGGAGAGTTCGTGGGCGTCAGTATACCCATTGGTATGTCTCATTCCTTCCATCATCATCCTCATCCTATGATCTATCTCGTAGGCATCATGCCAGATGCTAATACGTTATATAGCAATTGGCCTCTTAGTAATGATGTACCCCATTCTCTGCAAAGTCCGCTTCGAAACGCTCCACCTCCTCCTCAAGAAACGCGATCTCTGGATCCAAATCGCCGTCTCCTTCGTTCTCAACTGGATCATCGCCCCCCTCTTCATGGTGGGATTAGCATGGGCCTTCCTACCCGACCGCCAGGACCTACGTGAAGGACTCATCTTCGTGGGCATTGCGCGCTGCATTGCCATGGTACTCATCTGGACGGATCTTGCGGGCGGCGACGGCGACTACTGCGCTGTTCTCGTGGCGTTTAACTCGATACTGCAGATTGTGCTGTTTGCGCCCTTTGCGGTGTTTTATATCCAAGTGGTCAGTCATGGCGACAAGACGGATATCTCATATGAGAAGGTTGCGCAGAGTGTGGGCGTCTTCTTGGGGATACCACTTGGTGCTGCTGTGATTACGAGGTTGGCATTGAGGTCGATGCTGGGAGAGGACCGCTATCAACGCAGGTTCATACGCTATATCGCGCCGTTTTCGCTCATCGGCCTGATTTACACGATCATCGTCCTCTTTGCTAGTCAGGGCGCGCATGTTGTTAGGCAGATTACGGATGTGCTGAGGGTTTGCGCGCCCCTCCTGGTCTACTTCATCGTCATCTTTACGAGTACGGTTTGGTTCTGCTGGAAGATGGGGTTCAGCTACAAGGTTAGCTGCACGCAGAGCTTTACTGCTGCAAGCAACAACTTTGAGCTTGCTATCGCGGTTGTCGTCGCGGTCTACGGCGCGGGTAGCGGGCAGGCTCTGGCAAGTACGGTGGGCCCCTTGATCGAGGTTCCTGTACTTGTGCTGTTGGTGTATGTCCTGAAGTGGATACGAAAGAGATGGCAATGGGTCTAGATGTCGCGGGAGTGTACAATATGGAATGGGCATCGATCATGATGCAAGCTAGCCGTTGGACCGGCACCACGCCCCGGGCGTGAGGAAGATATTTGGAATGTTCCTTGCTCAACAGACGCTTGTGCTGGTGTATAACAGCAGAACGGTTTAGCTGCACAGGAGTAGTAATAGGACGGGTTGTGTATAAGACGAATACCAAGGTCATCCCGTCGGTAATAATCAATCTCTAGCACCAGTCATGTGTCGAAAATACACCATGAGACGAGACGCCAACATAGCGGGACCAGTATGACGGGTACAGTAGACGGTGATTCCCGAGTTGGAAGCCTTGGGTTTCATGGGTTTTGACGGGTCCCTCGCGGGTGTAGGGTTCCAGAACGTGCAAAGCTTAATTCCTCGCACATCGTAATCTCATTGGAAAACAAGTGACTGCGTTGCCGTGATTTGATTTGCGATGACACGCAGAACCCTGCTTTTTAGCGCGAACGGAGGAGATACCGAAGACTTTTACGCTAGTCATACGCCAGGACAGTTGGTCCGCCAGCGTAGCCAGACCAACGTGGGTCAGGGTATACATGCGAACCCCACAGATGGAGATGCTGTTCACACGCAAGGCGTTCGGCTTCGAATACCGGTTCCAGTTCTGGACAAGATTGAAGTTTTTCGAGCGGGCGGTGAGCACGTCAATCTCATTTTCAGTCGGATAGATATCAGCCGGTGGTACGTACAGCGTAATAACGCCCGATTGTGCATGATAGTACCCACATTCTGAATCAGAGGGACACAATTCTGCAACCAAATCGTAGTTGACGCGCGGGCTGTAGGCAACAAGGCGATGTCTAGCAAGGGGTTGCCGCTGGTGTCCGAAACGGCTCTGACATCGGATCTTGGGAGCGGACATGCGCGCCATGTCCGTCGGGTATCGAGATCGAAATCGATATCGTGTGTTGAACTTGCTAGTTCTGCAGTAGGAGGGTGATAGATCGTGCTGGGAGTACCGAGTATCCGGTGTTACTTGGCTCGCGGTGACGCTCTGCATTTTCTCGTGCTCTGTGTAGACTCCGCAACGTGAAAATCAGGTGAGGAGGTTAGACGATGAATCATGGCCCCTGTATGAGGAGACTGCGTTGGCTTGCCTCGTGGGAGACCCTGTTGCTGGCCTAAGTCGATGTCAAGGTAGTTACCTGCAGGTGTTCTGCGTGACGTCCCATGTGATCATCAGTGCACTTTGTGCTCGTGCGTTCAAACCTTACAAATTCCAAGTTACACAAATATAGTTGGCTTGTCGTGCACGTACAGCCTGATGGTTCGGTCCGTTGTAAGGGACTGTTTCTGCTAATTCGGCACTTGGTGGTTGCAGCGGCGGCTGCCGTGTGGTTACGGTTGCAAGCAGCCGTCGGGCTGGGTGGTGCGTCTCCAACGGTCTTTGTGAGTTGTACCACCGCACCGCACATGCTGGGATGTGCCGTGACACGGTGACGGCGTGAGATGATGCAGAGGTCCGCGAGTCGAGCACTTGCGGCATACGCAATGTGTGAACACAGCCAGCGCAGCTGGGTCGACACAATCGTCGCGTATGACAATCTACGGCTGCAATCGAAGGCGTCCGCACGGCACGTATGCTGACTCGTTGCCAGCGCCCAAGATTGGACCCCGCGGCGAAGGAAAAGTGTAGCCAGAAAGATCTCACTGCCCGTGGAGGCTGTTTCTGGAAAAGAGATAGCGGCGGTGCTATGTCGAAGGAAGATATGTTGTGCATGAATAACGGGCGCCAAAAGCTCGGTGGGTATCAGGCCGTGTTGTAGACTACACCGTGATAAATTTCGCTAACCGCCGCGTCCCCAGTCATCGCAATCTGGCTGCCTCGGATAACCTACACATGCCTGAGCTGGAGATGGTGATATCAGGCCCGCGCCGAAAGTCATTCCGTTGGCGGGCAAGACGGACAATGACGTAAAGAAGGACCGTAAGTCGGCGCGGCTGGGGTGGGTGGAAGCGCCTGGTCGCTGACTCTGCGTTGGCAAAGGTTTCCGATTAGAGATGTGCTGCAGAAGACGGGCCATGATGCTTGGTTGCGATGTTTCGATGATGTCTACTGTGCAGGTGCACTATAGCTGGAACCGCTTCACCAGGCCTGAAACGCCGTCTCTGGTGCGCTGAGGTGTCGGCAGGGCCCAGGCGCTCATGCTCAGTCGTCTCAGGCTGGACATGTCAGCCCCACGCGCGCTTCATTCTGCAGCCGCGGGCGAATGCCGTCGCGCGATGTGCTGTATCCCAGGCGCGACCCATGTGGGTGCCGGCAGTGACGACCAGCATCGACCTTGTCGTTGGCTGTCAAAAGAGGGGAGAGGCTCGCTAGAAGCAGTTCGGCGTCACGGCGCCGTGTTTGTCGCGCGGTGGGTGGGCGATGGTGGAGGCAGCTCTGGTGTTCATGCGGCATCGACCGACCGGCGGCTCGCCAGTCGCACTTTCCTTCCCAGCCCTATGGAGAGACCCAGCACGCCGGTTCAGCCATGTCAGCGACGACCGTGTTTCACTCTGCCTTGCTCACGGCTGTCTGTCTAGGCCTCCCCGCACTCTTGTCGCCCTCGCGGCCATCAGTCAGCCTGTTTCTTCCTCTCCAACCCTGCAGCCGTCCCTCGCGAGGTTGCATCGTTTCCGATTTATGCTGGTGTTGTGCTGAGAGCTGAAACGGTCCCTCTGTGCCTGCAGGGGGGCCTCGCTACCAGGACTCCGCCGTCTGCATCGTGGAGCTGACATGCTGACATGGGCGCGGTCGGCATGTCCCTCGCGGAACTGTCAACTGCAGCCACGTCGCGTCTCAGTCCCTGGAGCAGCTTGTAACGATTACGTTGGCCTTTGTTCAAGTTTTTGCAAAGGCCGGCCCCGCTAGATGCAAGCGATGCAGGATGATCGCCTTCTAGCTATACGCAGAAAGCAGTTCGCGAGCTATAGCTTCCCGTGCGGCGCAGTTCTCTAGACGGCAACTAGGAGCGAATGAGGTGTGTGATCCTAGGCGGTGAACCATGCTTCTGGGAACGCTTTCGACAGGACGCATCACGTATCGACAAAGTTACCTGCCGTGTCGGCGACTGCATGGCCATGGCTTGATCGGCCCAATCGATCTACCTGCTACGTACTTGGCGAACGCTACTGTCACAAAGGGCTCACAAAAGATATCGATGCATTTATTGCTGTTATCGTCGTCGCAAGCAAAGCCTGCTACCGACAGACAGGCGGGGTTGGCCCCTTGCGCAACCCTTCCTGTACCGAACGACCAGTCGGCAGCGGAACGGCGCGCGGCGCTGCAACAAGACTTGTGTCGACAATGCAGTCGAAACGGTGGTCTGCCATAACCTGGTTGCAAGTATTGGGGCAGTGGGATCGGTCCCAGAGTGCTTTTGTGCTATGCTCGCAACGTGCTCTAAACGCTACAGGCGGGCAAACGCGCATGCAGCCTGACGGTCCGCTGGGATAAGCAATTCTTCGGTACTCGTCTCGCGTAAGCACCATGGTGATTGAGCTGCTGCTGGGGATCGCGGAGATTATCCAGCCTGAATGGTATCACCTGAGTAGTCATTTCGGTCTTGGACGCGAAAGCGTCGCCTGGGCCGACAAGCGTCGCTGAGGGCTGATGGTGTCCTAGAGCGGCAGACGACGAGCACAGAACCGGCAGGGTGTGTGTGAATGACGGGAATCCTATTCGCTCGAGTGGAGCATGGTACGGGATTCCGCGCAGGTCGGTTACCACTCTATTGGGCGTCGCGGCCAAGAGGAAGGGCTGGCGGTGTTGACGGCGGCCCTGGGTATGCATTACAATGTATGATGGTGCATGCGATGATGGTGCGGATGGTGCGTTGATGCTGAGGGTGAGGCGCATGACGGTGGGGAGCGGTGTGTGCTGCTACCAGACGACGTGCCTGGGGCACTGGATAGGGAGAGGCTACTAGGAGATTGGTAGGCACTGGCAGGCAGTCGAGTGCACGGATGCGCTTCCGAGAGACGACTGCACCCGCCATTGTGGTAGCCGGAAGAGACTTGACTTGGTTGGGTCCAGCTCCGAGCGCGAGTGGCATGGACAGGGCCACCTAATTAATAGTAGCTCAGCTATGGCCTGCGTGCCGATGGGTCCCAGAGAGGTGCAAAAGATGAGTGGAGCACGCCTCGGACTGCCTCTTGCATTGATGCCGGCCTGCTTGTGGTCGACCCAGCGTCAGCACTCGTAGTCGCGCTTGACGGAAGCACTGCAGGGGTCGTCCGCTTTTAAATACCTCCCGCATCGCTCTGCCCTGATGACTGAGATCGCCTTGCTGGACTGTAGCAGTATACCCACGCCTGACCGCACTCGACGCCGTACACGTCCCAAACGACAGCGCGCCCTGCTTCCGCGTCCCCGTCATCGTCCCATGATCAGCGCATACGACGACTTGGCCCCTAGCACCGCCCTCGCTCGCCGTTAGCCGTCTGCCCTCGCTGTCGATACTTCTCGCTCCAATGGTCACGATGGCTTCGAATGGGTGTGTGCCCCCGCTCTCCGTACCACGCCCGCAGACTGACCCTCGCCCGCAGATTGCCCGTGCCCGCTCAGAACAGCAACTACATGGAAAATGGCCGCTGGTATCATGGCTTCCGGAGAGGCCTCTACATGTACCCGTGCGACGAGCCCGAGAAGGACCGCATGGACATCTACCACCAATTCTTCGCCGTCGCACGGAGAGGGCAGCTGCACCAGGCGCCGGTGCCGACGCAGCCAAACGTGCAGCCCCGCATCCTCGACGTAGGCTGTGGGACGGGCATCTGGGCAATTGACATGGCCGAGTAAGTTGGCCAAAGCAGCCAGAGCTACCGACTCAAGGCTAACCGCGCCCGTGCAGCAAATACCTAAACGCCGAGGTGCGCCCACTTAAGCATGACGCATTGCTGCCAGACGGCTGACATGATGTGCGCAGGTCCTAGGTTTAGATCTGGTCAATATTCAGCCTGAGAAGTATGCCGCCCGC